GGGCGCCATCCCCGGGTCCTCCCTTATTCACTCATTTTACCACTTTATTACTGGGTCCCGTAAATCACGTTCCCTCACTCTCCACCAGGAACAGTTACGACACTTCCTATTATGAAATGAGGCCTATATTAATCCTTAGGCCGCCGTGAACGCCAATTTCCTGGTTCCATGCTTTCCCACCTCCCCACCATATTCAAAACACTCCCGCCTCCCCCAGGGCCCGAGTCGACCTCTGCCCCCCACACATCCGCGCATGCGCAAAGGGAACTCTTGGTTCTATCCTATTGTCAAATATATTTTTGACTCATATCGACACATATAAACACCTATTAGGCACTATAGTTTCGGAAAATTAAAAATTTTCCACATTTAAATCATACCTCTTTTTTCAAGCTCTGTATGGCTCCTGCTCTGTTTACTTTATTCTCCAGGTTGCTCCATATTCTGACTAAGGCTGAAGAAATACTTCCTGACATCCCTGTGACTCATCCGTGTTTTCAACTTCCAAACATTCTGTTCTTGTCCACTCTATCAATTCCTCTCAGTATTTTGTATGTTTTTATTATATCCCTCCTAGTTCTTCCTTCATGGGGATATTTGAGCACCATGTTTTTCAAAGGGATGCCTGAGTAATGTGTCCTTCAAGGGGATACCTGAGCATCATGATCTTCAAGGGGGATACCTGAGCATCATGATCTTCAGGGGGATACCTGAGCATCATATATGCCAAAGGTATACTTGGGCATGTCCTTCAAGGGGATACCTGAGCATGCCATTCAAGGAGATACCTGAGCATGTCCTTCAAAGGGATACCTGAGCATCATGTCTTTCAAGGGACACCTGAGCATCATATCCTTCAAGGGGATACCTGAGAATCATGTATTTCAAGGGATACCTGAGAATCATGTCTTTCAAGGAGATACCTGAGCATCATGACTCCCAAGGGACACCTGAGCATCATATCCTTCAAGGATACCTGATCATGTTCAATGGATACCTAAGCATCATGTCCTTCAAGGGGATACCTGATCATGTTTTAAGGGATACCTAAGCATCATGTCCTTCAAAGGGATACCTGAGCATCATGTCCTTCAAGGGATACCTAAGGATCATGTTCCTCAAGGAGATACCTGAGCATCATGTCCTTCAAGGGATACCTCAGCATCATGTCCATCAAGGGATACCTAAGCATAAGCTATGTCTCTTAAGGGGATACCTTAGCATTTATCATACCATCATTTCCTCATGCCCACTCACCTCATTAAAAAGATCAGTGGCATCTGTGCCGACTCCTCGCATCAGCTCGTTTCCCCTCCTCCTGGTGGAACTCCAGGTACGATGTCACATTATAAACTTTACCTGCAACAAAAATAATAATAACAATAATAATAATAATAATAATAATAATAATAATAATAATAATAATAATTAGTAGATTAGTATTGGTAATAATAATAACTCCAATAATAATGATTTATTTTTTTATAAACATCAGCTGTTTCCCACCAAGGCAGGGTGACCCGAAAAAGAAACACTTTCATCATCATTCACTCCATCACTGTCTTGCCAGAGGCGTGCCAATACCACAGTTCAAATACTGCAACATATCTCCACCCCTTCTTCAGAGTGCCGGCACTGTACTTCCCATCTCCAGGACTCAAGTCCAGCTAAACAGTGTCCCTGAAATGCCCTCAAAATTATTTGCTCACACTCCAACAACACATCAAGTCATAAAAACCATTTGCCTCCACTCCTATCTAACACTTATGCACACTTGCTGGAAGTCCAACCCCTTGCAAACAAAACCTTCTTTACCTCCCCCTCTAACCTTTCCTAGGACTAACCCCTACCCAGCCTTCCCTTCACTACAGATTTATATGCTCTTCAAGTCATTTTATTTTTGTTCCAGCCTCTCTAAATGTCTGAACCACCTCAACAACCCTTCCTCAGCCCTTTGGATCATACTTTTAGAAACCCCACACCTATTTCTTATCTCCAAGCTACAGATTCTCTGCATTATATTCACACCACACATTGCCCTAAGACACAACATCCACACTGCCTTCAGCCTTCTTGTTGCAACATTCACCATCCATGCTCCACAGACAGCCACATGCTGTCTGCTGCCTGATAGCACCCCAGGACGTTTCCATGACATCACCCCGACGTCCACACCATGTCATCCCAGGACGTTGCCTGACATAACAGAAGACATCTGCCCGAAGTCATACCACGATGTCACCCCACAACATCATGCCTGACATCACCCCATGTTGTGACACTGACAGTGTTAATTTGCAGTTTCTAAAGTGAGCAATGTAAGTGTTTTCAGTAATGTCTAGAGCGGCTGAGAGAAGAAATTTTTCTAAGTTTACCTGGAGTTTACCTGGAGAGAGTTTCGGGGGTCAACCGCCCCGCGGCCCGGTCTGTGACCAGGCCTCCTGGTGGATCAGCGCCTGATCAACCAGGCTGTTGCTGCTGGCTGCACGCAAACCAACGTACGAGCCACAGCCCGGCTGATCAGGAACTGACTTTAGGTGCTTGTCCAGTGCCTGCTTGAAGACTGCCAGGGGTCTGTTGGTAATCCCCCTTATGTGTGCTGGGAGGCAGTTGAACAGTCTCGGGCCCCTGACACTTATTGTATGGTCTCTTAACGTGCTAGTGACACCCCTGCTTTTCATTGGGGGGATGGTGCATCGTCTGCCAAGTCTTTTGCTTTCGTAGTGAGTGATTTTCGTGTGCAAGTTCGTACTAGTCCCTCTAGGATTTTCCAGGTGTATATAATCATGTATCTCTCCCTCCTGTTCAGTATTGTAATATCACGTGTTTATTCCTCTTCGTTGGTGTTCCATTACTAGTGTTCTCACAAGTTCGTGATTGCCTTAGTGTCGATTTTTACACAGAAAAGCATCATTGCTAGTGCAAGCCATGTTGTAGCAATATTACCCCATGCTCAGTGTGCAAGTTTCCCGTGTGTGCCAAAGAGGTGGTCTGAGCACAGATGAGTACTCACCTAATTGTGTATTATTATTATTATAAATCAAGGGGAAATGCTAAAACCCATAGGATTATACAGTGCCTGTGAGGGATGTGAAAGGTATTCAGGATTAATTCAGGGAACCGAGCAGAGATCCAATTCCCTAGATCAAGAGCCCCTCATCAGCATCATGGAACCTCCCTTGAGGGGACCTAATTGTGTAGACAACAGTG